AAAATTAAAACCTCGCAAACCTGTCCGGATTCCAAAAACGCGAACTAAAAGCGCCGGGGAAATTTTCACGCTTTACAGTACGCGAGGTCTGACTGTGGTACAGTGTAGCTAGACCAGTACCAGTTGAGCAGATCAAAACTGTTACTACGGTTCCTATCCAGGCGATGTTGATTGTTGTCACTAAAAATTAATAATAACTATACAGTGTACATGCCCACGGGTCGTCTGCCTCTAGGCATGTGCGGATAATGCCGGCAGAAAAATTGCCAGAATTCGGTACTTTTTCTGGTAAATTTCATGCATGTTTGGTATGTGGATAACGAAATGGAGCAGAATTCGAGGAATTGCCCGCCATAAGGTTTGTATGGTTCTGCCAATTTCACTGCTTTTCGAGCAGAATCTGCCACCTTTTCGAGCATTATCCGCACACGTACCCCTATCTGCCTCAGAAACTCACAAGCGCTGGCGGAATTTAATTTTTAGATTTTTCGTACCTTTTTTTCTTTTCTTTTTCGATAATTATGGACGACCCCTTACCCCACAATTTTAAATTATTTATTACGAGCTCTCGTAGATTTAAAGGTATTCGTACTGTGGTGTACCCGGATGGGCGCATTTCATGTCCTGTTACATGATTCATGTACAATGTACATTGTAGGTAACAGTGGTGGGTTTGAATCCCACTCAGGTGCAAAAACACCCAAAACTAGTAGTAACAACTTACTTGCACCATTCGTCGGTATCAGAGGAGCTGGCTCTGGTCGCTGGTCTCTGAACAATGAATAGGGCCTAGCACGCCTCATGTCATCTTCTCAGTGTAAGACATAAGAGTGATTCCGTGATTAGTGACAACTGAACTACATGTACATGTACATACTAGTAAAAAAAGTAAAGTAAACGATAAGCATTCGTTCATTCAGTTCTTTTGTGTCGATCACGTTTTGTAGGCCTCCGCGGAATGTGCCGGCATAATTTCGGGAATTATCGGTGTGATTTTTAAAACGGGAATTATTGGCAATTTTTGTGGAATAATCGGTAAAATTTGAGCAATGCCCCCCATTTTTCAAGTTTTTTTCCATTTATAACACCCTGATTTGTACCAAAAAGCTTTTGATCCTGGAGTTGATCGCCCGGTATTTCAAAAAAGAAAGAAAAAAAAAGCTTCCAGCCGAGTTTCACGCGAACCGTGATTTTTTCCCGTACAAGTGGCAAAAAACCGTACGCGGGACGGTATCTGCAAAAAAAGGGAAGAAAAAAGCATTATTGTGAGAATTATTGGTGGAATTACGGGAATAATCGGTCGAAAATTTGAGCAATGCTCAAAGGAATTATCGAGAAAAATCCGAGCATATTTCGCGGAGGCCTAATCACGTCCATAATACATGTACCGGTAGGTCTGGAAAATTCCCACGGAACACACAGGATGGTTGCAGATCTACACTGCAGTCAGTGCAGCTCACTGCAATCCAGTCGCGTCACTCAAGTCTGCGCCTTGCATCATTTCCCAGCCCAGTGTTAGCAGGTCTAGGGCTGCGGAACGCCCGGCGCGTACTTGCGTGACGCGACTGGATTCCATTCGAGCAACACCGTGCAATGGTCCGGTTTTGCCGTATTTTATAAAGTATAGTTCAGATGAGCCTACCTCCTTGTGGACCTTGAAGTTGAAGTTACTGTTACTTAGTTGAATGCTTGATCCTAGCCTATTTTCATGAACTCAGCACTGTACGCATGGGAAGAGCGGTGACATCACTCTATCGCCGAATCGCGTAGGAGGAAGGAGCAGTACTCCCACGTAATATCTTACATCAGATGCCGTCTCTCATTTGCCCTGTTGCGATCATGCATCATGTGTTTGCGGAGTTCACGGGGTCTTTTCCGTGAGCGATCGGTTCGGCATCCGGAGTCTGCTGAGCTGGTTGTTGCTGAGGCCCAGGTTGCTCGCATGTGAGAATCTATTAATTGCAGCAGATTATTTTTATTATAAATACTGGACATGGATATTGAATTAAACTGTACTCAGTGAATTTTTACATTTTACAGGCTACGTTTTATTATTATTATTATTTCTAATTTTCTTTCACCGCCCACGGCCGCACAAAGTCCTTGGCTACAAAAAAAAATTAAAGTCTCTCCAAATCTCTCAAAACCAAACTTCAAACTCCTTTCCAAATTTTCGCCCAAGAGGGCATCTTCAGCTTATCCCTGAAGATGCCCTCTTGGGCGAAAATTTGGAAAGGAGTTTGAAGTTTGGTTTTGAGAGATTTGGAGAGACTTTAATTTTTTTTTTGTAGCCAAGGACTTTGTGCGGCCGTGGGCGGTGAAAGAAAATTAGAAATCATGACAAGGCTACAGAGGAGTTACGCCATCCTTATTATTATTATTATTATTATTATTGATGTTGTTTCTTCTCACTCCATTTCTCTTTATTATTATTATTATTAAGTAGTGGTTGTGGGGAGCAAACCCTTTTCTTCTTATTATTATTATTATTATTATTTTAAATGGTGAACGGTACTCTTCGGCCAATAAAATGTAAAGAACTCTTCCTCTCCTCCATGCGCTCTCACAGCCGACTTACTGCTACCCTCAGTAGCCATTACACACACCAACCAAGGAAGGGTTGCAGGTAGATACTGAAATTCCTCCTGACAGCTGTTTCGCCTTCATAAGGCTCATCAGAGAAGGTGATATTGAATAGGATGATATCATGTGGAGATGGTCAGATTTATACTACAAAACATGGGCGCAAGATTACGGGCAAAGTGTGAGAATGAGAAGTTACAATTCTCCAGCAACACAGTATAAATCTGACCATCTCCACATGATATCATCCTATTCAATATCACCTTCTCTGATGAGCCTTATGAAGGCGAAACAGCTGTCAGGAGGAATTTCAGTATCTACCTGCAACCCTTCCTTGGTTGGTGTGTGTAATGGCTACTGAGGGTAGCAGTAAGTCGGCTGTGAGAGCGCATGGAGGAGAGGAAGAGTTCTTTACATTATTATTATTATTATTATTATTATTATTATTATTATTATTATTATTACGAAGTAGTGGTTGCGACTTCGGCGATGATTTGTAAGAAAGGGTTTGCTCCCCACACCGGAGCTCGCGCTTTTCCGCCGACTTTACTTGACACTTGACTGACTCACGACTGCCATCCAGAGCACACGAGAAGTCCATCGAACCTTCGACTCGGCAAGCCTGCAAGAAAGCACCACTCCCTGCTCAATACACAGTGTTTCGGGAAATTCACCCCTCATCAGTTGAGCTTGAGTAGGCTGAGGAAGATTGTGCCTGAAGAGCACCACTTATAGTGCTCTCCAGGCACAAACATCACCAGGGATACAAACTTACAGAGACGCTCCGTTTCCAGCGCGACAAACACCTCGTGAACACCAGATAGCAGCGTGAGTCAGTGTCGCTCCTGGACGGTGAGACAGACGTCGAGGACCCTCGGTCATTCGCAACGCTGTCACCTCCAAACCAACTAGTCGCAAGCCCGCGCTGGGCACAACAGTACGAAGTAGTGGTTGCGACTTCGGCGATGATTTGTAAGAAAGGGTTTGCTCCCCACACCGGAGCTCGCGCTATTCCGCCGACTTTACTTGACACTTGACTGACTCACGACTGCCATCCAGAGCACACGAGAAGGGCGGTTTTCGGACTCTCGCATCACACCTCCGCGCGTTCCCTCCTGCTGCAATTGGACACCTACGGAGTATCCGAGATATTCAGGCAGAAGTTCATCGTTCTGGTCTGGAGGTCTCGGAATGAGCACGCAAGTTCTGAACTGCAAGCCCTCCTAGTTCCTTCGTCAGCTGGCCCAACTAGGTTGCACTCCACCATGGGTCTGCGCCAACCGCCAGTTTCCACCAGGTTCGGCAAGGGTTGCCTCGCGTTCCGGGGCGCCCAGCTGTGGAACACATTACCCAGCGATGTACGTGCCATCTCCACGCTCCGCCAGTTCCGCGCCAGCA